TCCCCAAACAAAAAATACAGATTAACAAATTGGATTAGAAAACAAGATTTATCTTTCTGCTTTATCCAAGAAACACATCTTAACATCAAGAATAGACATCACCTTGAGGTTTAAGGATGGACAAATATATTCCAAGTAAATGGACCCAAAAATCAAGCAGGTATAGCCACTTTAACAGAAAGCATAGACTTCAAACGAAAACTAATCACAAAAGATAGAAAAGGACACTATATACTCATTAATGGAAAAAATCTACCAACAGGATGTGATTATAAATATGTGTACACCAAACATGGGGCACCCAAGTCCATAGAAGAAGCATTACTACAGCTTAAATTACATATGGACCCTCGTATGCTGATCGTGAGAGACTTCTTTTTTTCCCCCCGAGTCAGGGTTTCTCTGTGACTTTGGAGCCTGTCCTGGAACTAGCTCTTGTAGATCAGGTTGGCCTCGAACTCACAGAGATCTGGATGCCTCCTGAGTGCTGGGATTAAAGGCATGCACCACTATCGCTCAGCAGTGAGAGACTTTCATACCCCACTCTTGCCAACTGAGAGGTCATCAAGACAAAAACTAAACAGAAAAATGCTGGAGATAACTGACTTCATAAATCAAATAAACCTGACAGATACTACAGGACATTTCACCCAAATACAAAAGAATATAACTTCTTTTCAGCACCTCGTGGAACTTTCTTCAAAACTGACCACATACTTGAACACAAAGCAAGTCTCAGCAGATAAAAGAAACTTGAAATAACATTCTGCATCCTATCTGAGCTCTATGGATTAAAACTGGAAAATATTCGAAAAAAATCAAGACAGAAATGAGGATGGAAATAAAATTTTAATTGAATTAAATTGAAAATATGACATACCCAAGCATATGGAACACAGTGAAGGCAGTTTTAATAAGCAAGTTCATAGTTGAAAAAAATTAGTGAGGGAAACAACCTAAATGCCCCTTGACCAAAGAATGAATAAGGAAAATGTGGTACATTTACACAATGGAGTACTACACAGCAGAGAAAAATAATGACATCTTGAAATTTGCAGGCAAATGGATGGAACTAGAAAACACCATATTGACCCTGAAAGACAATTATCATATGTACTCACTCATCAGTGGTTTTTTAAACATAAAGCAAAGAAAACTAGCCTACAAATCATAACCCCAGAGAACCTAGACAACAATGAGGACCCTAAGAGAGACAAACATGAATCTAATCAACATGAGAAGTAGTAAAAGACAAGCTCTCCTGAGTAAATTGGGACCATGGGGACCACGGAAGAGAGTTGAAGAGGATGAGAGAGGCAGGGAGGGGAGCAGAGAAAATGTATAGCTCAGTAAAATCAATTCAAAAAGAAGACTATTAAAACAATTAGTGAGATCTTATATTAGTAACCTGGTAACACACCTGGAATATCTAGACAACAAGAATAACTAACACCCAAAAATGTAGATGGCAAGAAATATTCAAACTCAGGGAAAAAAATCAATTAAAAAAACAATAAAAAGAACAATGAAATGAAGGGTTGACTCTTTAATAAAATCAATAAGATTGACAAACCCTTACCAAATTAACTAAAAGATGAGAGAGAAGATCCAAGTTAATAAAATTAGAGATAAAAATTAGTACATTACAACAAGCATGAAGGAAATTCATAGATGCATTAGAAACATATTTTTAAAATCTCTACTGCACCAAACTGTAAAACCAAAAAGAAACTGGTAAATTTCTTGATATATATCTAGCCCAACAAGGTTAAATCAAGATCAAATAAGCAATTTAAATAGACCTCTAGTGAAACAGAAGCAGTCATTAAAATTCTCAAAACCCCAAAAGGTCCAAAGCCAGACTGATTCAATGTAGAATTCTATCAGACCTTCAAAGAATAATTAACTCAAATACTCTTTGATTCATTCTACAAAATAGAAGTTGAAGGTATATTTCATAATTCTATTAGGTCACTATTACTCTGATACCAAAATCACTCAAAGATCTAACCAAAACAATTATAGACCAATATCTCTTGTGCCATAGAAGCAAAGATTCTCAAAAAGTTTCCAAACTGAATCCAAGAACACATCAAAAAGATTATACACCATGGGTTTCATCCCAGAGATACAGGGATAGTTTAGCATACCTAAATCAATAAGCACAATCCACTACATAAACAGACTGAAAGGTAAAAATATATCATTCTCATTAGATGCAGAAAAGGCCTTTATCAATCATAATAAAAATATCAATCTTATAATAAAAATATCAATCTTATAATATTTGATAGCCATTTTTGAAATGATTTTGTAAAGTACCACTTTTACTCAGTGACTTCACAATAATACATATGATTCATAAGAGTTCTTTAATTGCATTGCTAATAACTATTTCATCCTCTCAACTTAGTTTTGATGGCATATTATTATCATTCTGTGTGTATACAACAATTACTTTGTTTATAACATTCTATAATATTTGATATTTTTCAGATGGCAAATTGTCAATATTTTGGCACTCTGTATTTCTAGTGAACATTTGGGAAGTGTTGGGTATTTTACAATGTCATAATAATTGAGGGAGTGCCAATAATTGAAAAAATGGTGGCCAGAGATGTTAGAAAAAAAAAAGAAAAGGCCTTGACAAAAATTCAACATCCCTCCATGATAAAAGTCTTGAAGAAACTAGAGATGCCAAAGATTTACAAGGAGCATAATAAAGATAATTTACAGCAAGCCCGCAGGCAGCATCAATCTAAACAGAGAGAAACACAGAACATTTCCACTAACAGCAGGAACAAGACAAGGTTGTCCACTCTCTCCTTACCTATGCAATATAGTAACTGAAGTCTTAGCTAGAGCAATAAGACAATTGGGGGAGATAAAAGGAATACAAACTGGAAAGGAAGAAGTCAAAGTATCTTATCTGCAGGTTTTATGATTTTATAGATTTCAAAAACCTAAAAGCTCCACCAGGAAATTTCTACAACTGATAAACTTTCAGCAAAGTAGCAGGCTATAGAGTTAACACAGAAAACTCCTGTATACAAATGGCAAACTGAGAAAGAAAGCAGAGAAGCAGCATAGTCCATAGCCTCAAAAATATACACATCTTGGGGTAACATTAACGAAACAAGTGAACGACTTGTATAATAAAAACTTTAAGACATTGAAGAAAGAAATTGAATGTATCACAGTATAGAAAGATCTCCCATGTTCATAAATTAGTAAGATTAATGTTGTGAGAATGACCATCCTACCAAAATCACTCTACAGATTCAACACAATCTCCACCAAAATTACAGTACAAATCTCCCCAGAAATTAAACAATTTTCATCTTTATATAGAAACACACAAAAAAGATAACTAAGACAACCATGAATAGTAAAATAATGTCTGGAGGTATGACAGTGCCAGATTTTAAATTGTCCTACAGAGCTATAAGTAATAAAACAGCAGGGTGTTGGGATAAAACCAGACATGCTGATTGATGGAATCAAATTGAAGACCCAATATAAGTTCATGTACCTATAGATACCTGATTTGTGACAAAGAAACCAAAAAGGCACTCTGAAGGAAAAATGGCATCTTCAACAAATGGTGCTGGTCAAACTGAAGGCTGCTGCATGGAGAAGAATGCAAATAAATCCCTATTCATCACCATGCACAAAACTTAACTGCAAATGGATCAAATACCTAAACATAAGACCAGATACACTGAATCTGATAGAAAAGGTATTGGGAAATAGGCTTGAACCCATTAGCACAGGGAAGGTCTTTCTGAACCGGTTACTGACAGCACAGGCACAAAGATCAACAACTAATAAATGGAACTCGTGAAGCTAAAAATCTCTGTATGGAAAATATTGAACACATCATTTGAGTAAAGCAGAGGCTACAGAAAGCGAAAGGGATTTTACAAATTATACATCTGATAGAAGGTTAATATCCAAAATATGTGAAGAACTAAAAAACAAACCATGAAGAAAGTAAAAAAAAAAATACAAATTTAAAAATGAAGTACAGAACTAAACAGAGAGTTCTCCAAAGGTGAACCCTGAGTGGCTGCGAAACACTTAAAGACATGTTCAGTGTTCTTTAGCTATCAAGTAAATGCAAATTAAAATTACTTTGAGATTTCATTTTTCACCAGTAAGAATGGCCAATATCAATAAAAACAAATGATAGCACAAATAATAGAAACCCAGAGACAGATATTGAGGTTCAACCTGAAATTCACAAAATCAAAGCAGCCAGCCACTAGCTCTTACCTATACCTCAGACCAAAAATGGGCAATCCTGCCTCCATGAATCCTCAGATTGAGACTAAGTATGATATCTGTCTCCTCACATTTTATATTCCTCTCCAGTGCTGGGATTAAAGGCCTGCACCACCACCACCTGGCCTCTATGGCTAACTACTGTGGCTTCTGGAATTGAAGGTGTGTGCAACCATTGCCAGGCCTGTATGGCTCACTAGTGTGGCTGCTTTGCACTGATCTGCAGGCAAGTTTTATTTATTAAAATACAAATAATATACCACTATAAGCACATGTTGGCAAGGGTGTGGGGAAAGGGAAACTCTCATCCATTGCTGGTGGGGGAGCTAATTTGTACAACCACTGTGGAAAACAGTGTGTCAGTTCCTCAGGAAGTTGGTCATAGATCAACCTAAAGATCCATCTACACCACTCTTGGGCATATTCCTAAAGGATGCTTCGTCAATACCACAGAGACTTTTAAGCCTCTCATTCACACCACTGGTAACTGAGCGGGGAGAGGGGGGTCAGCGACGGAAAGAGGGGGCTCTACTAAATGAATCCAGAAAAGGTCTAAGAGTTCAACTATGATGTACATTAAAACTGATGGTTGAAAGCAAGCAACATGTACCCTACTTGCAAATAGGGAACCTTGTACATTTGACTATGTAAATTTCAAAAACGGACCTTCTGCTTGGATAAAATAACAGTGCTGGGAATTAAACAGACACACTCACCTTGTAAAAACTCCTCCTTGCAAGCAATGGAGCAGAAGAAAAGAATGCTCGTTTTCTTGTCTTGTTTTCTTTAAGTCATCCTTCAACCACGAATAGCTAAAACACTGGATTATGAGTGTTCCACAAAGCACAAAGCTTAATGTTAAAACACCAAAAACATATTGTCCGTCATGGAAATACCTAGCAGACAGGAGGATGTCTGCAACTAAATCAGTTACATAGATTATGATGCCAAAAACTGACATAGCAAAGTTGTATTTGGTATATTTCATTATGAATGACTAAGGCTCTTGGTTAGCTACTCCTTTTCAGATACAAAAATAGGGGGAAATACCAGAATGAATATTAGTTTATCCTGCAGCTTAGCACTGAATTAATTTCTACTCTCTGAGTCTACTTAGAGAAAAGAATGTGGGGATAGAGTTCAGGAATATAGTGTTTATCTAACATTCATAAAGTCCCATATTCAGTCCCTAATACCAAAACAAAAAAATGTTATAAAATTGGAACACTAAAACGAAAGTAAATAATTTTAACTTTCTTTTAAAAAATTCTAATCTAGATCCAGTGGTACAAGAAGGCTTCGTGGTATCTTCTCTTCTATCATGATCTTCAATACAGATAACGATGTCTAAAATAAAACAAAAACATGTTTCTAACTCTTAATGATAAAGCCTGGTCCATGATATTATGATCTTATGTTTCTAAGTAGATGAAATATACATTTTATAGTTGGAAAAGTTACTAGTTGATCATGTCATCTGAAACTGAAGTACTTATCATTTAAAACTAGGTCTTCTCACAAAAATATCTATTATAAGACCATTTATATTGGCAAAAAATGCAAACTACCTAAATGTCACCCAATTCCAAATCACACTACAGAGCCATAGTAGCAAAGGCAGCACACTCCTTGCATAAAACACACATGTATACTAATAGGTCAGACTAGAGGACCCAGAAATCACAGGGCCACAGCTGTAAGATCTTTGAAATTAATAGACTGTAGGAAGAAAAATTAAAGCACAGGACAGGCGAGGACTTTCTGAAAAGGACTCCAAAGCCTCGGGAAATAAGAGCAAGAACTGTCAATAGGTCAGAGTGAGGCTGAAGTGCAACTTCACAGGGCGGGAAGCACCCTAGAATGGAGACACAGCCGGAGGAACAGGAAAACTTATTAGGGGCTAGTGCCTAGACTCTATAATTAAAAAATAACTAGAAAAATTAAGCATTAAAACAACAAATTATCTAACTAATGGGCTAATGAATTTAATTATATTTAAAAGAATGAATAAAACTAGTCGATAAACATATTTAAAATGGTCAACATCCATAGGCATTGTGGAAACAATCATCAAAACTACATTAACAGGGCTAGAGAGATAACTCAACCAACATAATTAATATTATGATCCCTACTGTAGAACTGTTCTGAATGCAGTCTGATAGTAAGACTTATCTGGCTCAAGCATTTTTGTTTTGTTCTTCCTAATTGCCAGTAGTTCACAAAAAAAAAAAATCCAGGTTTCTGTCCACTCAGATTTGAGACTACTGTTTTCTATGAACTGCAACATTTTAATAATATATATGAAGTTTGGTGCTCATGTAGTAGCAATGGTTTAATTATAGAAAACAAAGATCTTTGAGCATTTTTCTACCTTTACTCCCTAGCATGTAACTATCAAATTCGTGTCTCTTTGGATTTTGTTGTTTCCTAGTGTTTGATTTGAAAAATTAGTGTTAGAGTTTCACTAAAAACAACAACAACAAAAAAATAGCTAAGCAGCTTCAGCTTGGGACCAGGGCAGCAGTACTAAAATGTGACTGACCATATTTCTGCCATTTTGTACTGTGTTGCAAAGTGGGGTTCTCAGCAATGACCATTGTAAAACATCTATCAACTCCAAAAACTTGAAGATGCTCTTTATACTGCAGTGCCAGATAGTCAGCAAGCTTGAACTCCATATGTAAAAAGAGACCAGCACACCCATCTCATCACTACTGAAATTTTCTTTCATCTTTAATAAAGGGAAAAATTATATGTCGACTAAAATTATAGTAAAATAAATTTCCCCTATCATTTACTATCAGTAAGTGTTTGATCTGATATTGATTTTTGTTTGCCTAGATGTATAAAGCTGCATAAAACATTTCATAAATCACAAATGGAGAAACTTAAACTTTGCCTTATTGAGTTGTCCGGCAGGTTAGAAAAGATAACCCATACAACCCACAGAACCCCCTAGGTAAGCCCTTGGCACACGGGACTCAAGAAATGATGGTTATTATTTGCTGTGTGCCTGATTGTCTGTGTAAGCATCTGTGTTTCCCAACTCTGGCTTAATTTTCTTTAACAAGAACTGAAAAGGTTGTTTTCCATGATGTGATCTCAGAGCTTTGCAACACAGAGGAAATATGATAAAAAAAATTTTAAATGTCAACTGTAATTTTATCTGAGGAACAAATGCCATTTCAGAAGAGTGTTTTTCTTCACCATTCTTTCCCATATGCTACAGATTAAACTTTTTCTCCTCCAGATTTACATATCGAATCCCCGGTTCCCAAGTATGACCTATTGGGAGAGGGGAACTTGAAGGAGAAAACAAGGTATCCGCTTTGGAGGCTGATGAGGATGGCTAGTCTCAGGAGGGCTGGCCATGCGGCTCAGTGCAGAGAAAACTGGCCTGGCAGGAGGCCCAGGGTTTGATCCTCAGTGCCTCAAAATGGGGGTGGAGAGAAATGGAGAGGGGTAGGAGAGGAAAGGACAGCAGGGGAAAGGTCATGTGAGGATAGAGGTTAGAGCCAGGAAACAGGCACTTCCAGAAACCGCCCCTATCGGCTCCTTCATCTTGAACTTCAGTCTCTAAAAGTATGATTAAGCGAATTGTAATCCGATGAGTCTGTGGTGTTCTATGTGTACCTGAACTCTCTATAAAAACATTTAGTACTCTAAAAGCCCGGAAAGGAAAGAATTACAAAACATACACACCCAAACTAGTACCTACTGTTTCATAGTATTTCCCACGTATATGCAGTAAGTTTAAAAGTCTACAGGATAATCCTAGAGGGATTTGTACTATATCCTAGAATTGTACTCTACTTATGAAACAAGAATAAAAATCTTAATTTCATTTCCCAGATTCTCCCAGCAAAACTATAATCAGATGATTTCAGAATATTAAAAGCTGACCAAAATGTCGTAGTTGAGCTGAAATGTCACATAAGATTTTTAACGTAAGTAGCTTACTTGGTTATAGACTACTATACCTAAGCAGTCTGTGTATATTTCTATCAGCCCATCGCTAAAGAGAACTCGCTTTGCCTGACATGATTAAGTTAAAACATGATTAACAGGCTTTTGTTAACATTTTACAAAGCAGAGTCATTTCTATGAAACAAAACCTGTATTATTATCAGAACATTTCTTAATAGATTTGTTAACATAGCAATGTTCACAATATTGATTCAGTCAGACAGAACAAGATCCCCACAGGAAGCAAATCTACACGGCAAGCTAATAAACGGAGCGGCCATTATAAAGACATCCCACAACTCTCTGGATAATTGTAGTTTTACAGCTTGTTTACAGATAGCCCATCTTTCCCTCCACAGTTGACCACTGTCCCAATGTCACCCGAGTAAAAACACCACCACCTACAAAATGTGCCTTCTACTTACCGACTTAATGTTCAGCTGTATGGCTAGCTGGCTGCCAGCCAAAATATATAACCTTTGCCCTAGTACACGATCACTAGGCAATAAAGCAGTTATTTTAAAAAAAAAATAAAACTAAGAAAGTTTCACTTAATCAATCAAACTTAATTCATGTAAAACTAGACTTACTGGTGACAAATCCAAAAGCCTTCTTTAATTCAATGGCCCTTCTTCACAATCTTCATTTCAGGGATTTTATTTCTTCACTGAACACCAGGATAGCAAATGTATAATCCTTTTGGATCACATACTGAAATGAAACCAAAATCACCTGTTAGTCACATGTAAAACTCCAGTCTGTTGATAAGAATCCCTCACTGAGGAGAAATCACATGTTTCCTTATTTATATTTAGACTCCAAGCTTTAACACGTTTATCATTTAATCGTTAAGAAAATACCATTTGATAGGGGAATATCCTATTCACAACAGCTTCAAAATAAATAAATAAATAAAATGCCTAAGAACAAACCTAAGCAAGGAACTAAAGCTGAATGAACTCTACTGTTGTGGGAGGTCCTTCTGTAAGCTGTGAGTATGTACTCCTCCCATTGGTTAACAAGGAACCTGCTTTGGCCTATGGCAGGATAGACTAGATAGGTGGGAAATCCAAAGAGAAAGGGAGAGAGAGGGGGAGAGAGAGAGAGAGAGAGAGAGAGAGAGAGAGAGAGAGAGAGAGAAAGGGAGAGAGAGAGAGAGAGAGAGAGAGAGAAAGAGAGAGAGAGAGAGAGAAGAGAGGGGTCTAGAGAGATGCCATCGAGTAGCCCAAAGAACAGTATGCTAGAACACCTGAGGTAATGCCATTTCATTAGAAATGGGTTAATTTTTAAGTGAGAGCTAGCCAGTAATAGTCGAAGCCAAAGCAATATAATATCAATTATATTAATATTAGCCTCTGAGTGATCAATTATTCTATAAGTGGCAGTGGGGACCAGAGGGTGGGAGAGAAACAGTCCAGTGGGCCCAGGTGAGACAGAGAAAGCTTCCAGCTATTCTCTACAATAAAATTCTTAAAACACTAGTAGATAGAAAGACTGCTCATCTTCATGGATAGGGGATGGTGGAGAAATCGGACGCTTAAAAGAAATCCCACACTAGCTCAGAACTGAGAGATAGTTATTTATTTAGGGGGAAACTTACAAATTAGGATTCTCTGTTTGAACAGTGAATGGAGATGGGATCCAAAACAATCCGAATGAACAAACGGGAACCAGGGGGGCCGGACTCTGCAGGGGTGTCCAGGTATATAGTGTAAGAGGCCATGCCCCAGTAGGTGGGTAATTACCAACTGTAAACCTTCCTGAAGCAGATAGGTAGATATAAATGTGAAAATGGCTATGTTGCCAAAAAAAATGGTCTACAAATTCAATGCATTCCCATCCAAAGCCCAATGATTTCTCCACAGAATTAGGCAAAAGTCCTAAAATTCCCAGAGCAACCCATGATTAAAGTCAAAGGAGCAATGCTGGAGGTATCATAATATCCGATCTTAAACTATGTCACAGAGCCATAACAGTGAACACAGGGTTGTGTGCACACAAAAGCAGACCAATGACTAGAATAGATAACCTAGGATTAAACTCGCAGTTGCAGCACAACTTGAAGACAGTCTCTTTAACAAATGGTGCTGGGCTGGAAGGGGGTGATGCACACCTTTAAGCTCAGCACTTGGCTGGCAGTGGGAGGTGTGTCATTGAGTTCAAGGCCAGTCTGGTTCACAAAGCAAGTTCCAAGACAGCAAGCACTACCCAGAGAAACCCTACCTCGAAAAAATAAAGCAATCAAAGAAAGAAAAAAAAATGGTGCTGAGAAAACTGGATTTCCACAAGCAAACAGATGAAACTAGATCCATATTTTTCAGTCCGCATAAAAATCAATTCAAAGTTTATCAAAACTCTTAATATAAGACTTAAAACCTTTACATCGCTAGAGGAAATCAGGTAAAACACTTCAAGATGTAGCGTATTCTGAACTGGACTACACAAGAAATAAACCCAAGAACTGACAAACTGGATTACATGAAATTAATCCAATTAATTTATTATTAATTAATTACATTAAATTAAGGGGAAGGAAAGGATCACCACTCATCAAGTAGGCACGCCATTGCATACTCCACAGAGGAGGACAGCCTCACTGGGATTTCTCCCCAGACTGCCCAGCCAGATTTTTCTTCTGCATAGAGCTTTCAGTCTTGGTAGTGTGACTCAGCACTTGCTGGAGGGGCTATGTAACTATTGACATAACAAGAAGACACGCTATCTCTCATACAGGGTGAGAAAAGGTCACCATGTTAAGATTCCCCCTGTGGACAGTCCAGATCCTGACGGCTCAGCCTTAGGTGCATATCTCACGACCTATAGCAAAAAGATATATAAGCACCCGTGATGAGTCCAGGGTGTTGATCGGGTTCATTTTCTCTGCCATTGAAAGAACTAAATAAAAAGCAGGAAAATCTGAACCTCAACGGGCGGCGGCAGAGAAATGTCAAGTGCTGCCGACAGACTCAGCAGTTGAAGGAAGGTGTTTATTGAGGGTGAGGAGACACACGTGCAGCAGACACACAGAGAAAAAGACCCTCTGCAAAGCAGGTGGGGGCACTCAGCGAAAGAAAAATCCTGTCTCTTCCCTTTGTGGGTTTTCAAGTTTCTCAAGAGCTTTTCTCTCCTAATTCAGGGTTGGTCTGTTTAAATAAAGCTATAATGATTGATTGGCCCAGAACTGTGTGTGGCGTGTCCTGAGCAGGCCTTGACCTTGTTGAACAAGTTCATCAGGCTGTTTGAGGCTGTCAGGAAGGTGAGGAAGAAGATGGCCATCTTGGAAATTCACCCCCTTTCTTTATTACCTTAGCCGTGGCCCCTCTCCCTGTCTGTCTAGCTAACAGACTCTAACTGCTCGTCTCTCACTAGCATAGCAAAAAGGCACATTCACATACGCCATATGGAGAAGGACAGCTGTATTGGAACCTCCTCCATGGACACTTCCCCTTCAGGCTGCTCAGTGTAGGTTGCATGCCTTGCTACCCCATAACCAGGACCATCATGACTCCCCAACTCATCTTTGGTTCCATCAGGTTACTGTTCTGGAAAAAAATGTTGTGACTGACTTTCCCTGGGAAGGCACAACTCAATAGTCCAAAGTAACAATCAATGAGTTGGACTTTTTGCTTGCTTGTTTGTTTACTGAGGTTGCCAGCAGGAGTACAGATGAGGAGTGACTTACAAGAATCAGGGAGGACTCGGGAGCAGCTGCATCACCGGGAAGCCCACCCCAGCGTGGATGACGGCTCTGACCTGCTAAACCACAAAGAATTTAGAGCGCAGAGCTACCAGCAAGCTATGCAGAGAGCTCCGGGGTTGCTGTTTTCAGTAGGCATCACCCACACTAGCTATAAATGAATATTAGTAGGATGAAACCAGCTGATACGAACGACTTGGTTTACCCCAAGCCCTCTTCACAGGATATATTGTGCATCACAAAATGGCATGGGATAATTTCAATAACAGTTTTCAAATTAAGCTCATTCTTGACACCCAGAACAGAAACTTATCCCACATAGCAAAAAAAATTTCAACTACTCTGAAATATTGTTGTCAATTTACAAAGGGATTTCTTCTGCAAAGAACGAATGATTAAAAATGACTATCCTAAAAGTCAGACCAAAGTATCAGAAATGTCCATTTCTCAATTATTTCTAAAAGGCGTAGGCTAAGGTAGTGGACATGTTCTTTATCTCTTTGGTTATACACATTGCTGGCGAGCATAAAATCTGGGCATTTTCTTGGAGGTAACTTAGAACTCAAGTTCTTAAAGTTTCAAACAATAGTTGATACTTGTCAATTGGAAGATACTTCACTACAGAGAAAATAAGTCACTTTCACCTTGGATACAAAAGCAACTTATTTCCCTGAGCAAGTGGGTAGAATAGAGAGGAAGATAGGCAGGCTCCTCCAATTTCCAAAAATGGGATCATGCATTGATGCAAAACACGTAGAAAGAGGCCCAAACACAGAACTGGGTTCTCCAAACTCCATTTTACATTTATAAAATGGGGATAAATTGTGCCTGATAAAGTGTTAGGGTCCACATGGGATTTTAAGAGTTGAGGGTTAATGGGGACTGGAGAGATAGCTCAGTTGGTAAAAAGTTTGCCTTGTAAATACTATGACCTGAGTTTGATCCCACAGAACCTACATAAAAATGTGGGACATGGTGTCACATTTTTATAATACCTGTAGGGGGGAGACGGGAATTTCCCGGCTGTGAACAACTGGCCAGTCTAGCCTAAGTGGCGACTCCAGGCTGGTGAGGAGTAGATGGGCGTCCAGAGAATGACACCTGAAGTTGCCTTCTGGCCTCTACAGGTGTGCACGCAAACATTGTATGTGTGTGTGTTGAAGATTTAAAAAGATTATTTATTGGGAGCGGCTCTTGGCAAGAATGCTCAGGTAGGAATGCTAGGTGGACATCAGTTCCACCATTTATTGTGAAAGGTAAGTTATTCTTCAATTGCACACCCTGCCACTGCCTAAGACTTGGCCTGCCATTCCTTCCTGGGTTGGGACTCAGTAACTACCCCCCATACCTGCCAACCCTTATTTCCTTCACAGATTAACTTTCCAGTGAACTAATGTCATGAAGATGCCGGACTACTTGAGTTCAAAGTCCGAAGAGACACCGGGCTCCGAGAGCTGCTCAGGCCCCGTCAGGCCTCATCAGACTCGGGCCACAGCCACCCGGAACGACCTCTCGCCGCTGCATGGTAGGCCAGGGCCGTCACGTGACAAAGGCCCCGCCCCCGCCAGCTGCCAATCCGCGCCGGGCCGCCTCCCGCGGTGTCACGTGACCGCCGCCCGACACACGGGGCCTAGGGCTCACAGTGCACGGAGGGACTAGGAGTCTAGTCGCCGGCCGGCTTGAAGATGGCCGCCGCTCTGCAGCGCATCGAGCGGCTGTCCAGCCGGGTGGTGCGCGTGTTGGGCTGTAACCCGGGTCCCATGACCCTGCAAGGCACCAACACGTACCTGGTGGGGACCGGCAGCAGGTAAACGCCCCCTCCCCGCCGCCAGCGCGGTCCCCGAGCTCCGCGGAAGACGAAACCTAAGCAAAGCACAGACCTTACGGTTCTAATTCACGGTTTGCTTGCTGTCTGGCTGCCCGCAGGGTGCCCGTGTTGAACTGGGATTTCCTGGAGTTAGTTTACGGGAGCCGGTGTGTTGGTGCACGCCTGCAATCCAGTGCTTGAAATGCACAGGCAGGAGGGGCCGCAGGCAGGGTGGCCACAAGTTCGAGGCCATCCTGGTCTACATAGCCATTTTCAGACTTCGTAGGGTCATATACCCCCGTGCCCCAAAAGTTTACAGTATTTGCTTCTCTGTTTGTATTTTACCCAGCGACTTCCTTCCTGAAATCTGTGACAGTGCTGAAGCCATTTCCTTACAGTAGAGGGCAGAATTTTACTTCCAAAATTCAACCCAAGTCTGTAAAACTGAAAGAACAACCCAGCCCATGAGTAGGAGAAACTAACTCCCTTTACTTTTTTCTTCTGATTGCGTATGGCAAGCATAGTTTGTTTGCGTCTGAAGTCTCTACTGTATTTACCCTTCTCGAGTAAAAGAAATCTACAAGCAGCTGACTGTAAAGAAATGGAAGTATTTCAAACTGGCAAAAGGTTAAGCCTAGATGAATAAACAAGGCCAGGGTCAAGCACAGGTCCTTTGGACTTCCTGTACACTTGTGAGGGTTAGAAAATGAAGCATCAGAGTGTATGAGCTGGGCTGCCCTCAGCCCAGTGAGTTCCTGGGCATTCTCTTCCGTGTGTTATTTAAAACTCATCCTGAAGTCAGTACCTAAGATCGGAATGGCAGATAGTTCGAATCACCCCAGAGAGTTCCTTAGGAGAGCGTCCTGTTGGAAATCGGTGGATTCAACAGTAAATTCAACAGAACCTGCTTTTCTTCATGGGCTAAAATAGTGGCTGGTTTTATATGAAAACCAGATGAAGAAGTTGGTTAGCATTTAGAGACTAAACTGTGTGAAAAATACACACTGTATCCTTAAGCTCTCAATCACACTCAGTGTAACAAAAATGCTTCTGCTGAAAGAGACAAACTGAAGCTAACTGGTGAAGAGAGGTTCACAGTCTCCCATCTTACGCAACTTAACAGTTACTAACAATGATGCCCAATGGGATCACTCGAGCTTTTTACATTATAATTTTATTTCTATGGCTATTTAAGAAATAAGTAAAGCTAAAATAACGTGCAGATGGCGCTGCTCAACATAAACTAGATACAAAAATTAACTGGGTCCAAGTTAGATGTTCCAAGATTTGTGTCCGCTGTTCCACTTCACAAAAAGGCCTAACGTTATAGGTGGCCTCTGTATCAGTGAACTCAATGGCATTTTTATATTTCTGTTTCCGCTAACTTTGGGACCCGCTGACCAGTCCCTCTTCGACTTGCTGATGCGGCGTCCTCCTCGCTGCTTTTCTCACATTTTCCATCTTTATCAGAACGTCACATTCCTCTAACTGCAACCCTAACTCCATGTTTAAAACTACATGGATTTATGTATTGTATTTGTATGTATGTGTGTGGACTCACACACCAGGGTTGGAGTATTGATATCAGGAGATAATGGTTCTTTCCGCTCACCCTCTTATCCTGAGAATCACACTCGGGTTGTCAGAGTTGGGAGCAAACACCCTCACCCACTGAGCTACCTTGCCTGCCTATCCTAGCCTCTCGTGGTGATTAATCATGACGGTCAACTTTACTGAATTCAGAGTCATCTAGAATGCACACTTTGGGGAAGGACTTCAAGAGTGGTGTGACCAAGGTAGAGCAAGCCCTACCCTGAATAGCAAAAATATACCATGCGCTCAGGTTCTAAACTGAATTCAAGAAAGAGAAAAGAAGTAGATCACCAAGTATTCTGTTCTCATTCTCTCTCTCTCTCTCTCTCTCTCTCTCTCTCTCTCTCTCTCTCTTTCTCTCTGGCTATGCACAAAATATGAGCAACTGCCACTCCTGCTGACGGAACTAGAATGGCTCTTGCCATCACATTTTCCCTTCTATAATGGCCTGTGTCCTCAAACTGCACCAAACAAGTCCTTCCTTCCGTCATTTTTGTTGGGCATTGTGTCACAGCAGTGACAGAGTAACTTGTGCACGCTGGTATTGGTTCACTATCGTTCGGGTGATCTCACCTGCTTCCTTGGTTTCGCCTACCATCTGCTTATTAATAACACTCAAATTTAAACAGAAGCCCGACTTCATCGGGCTCGTAGTTGGATGCATTATCAGTGTTTCAAGATGAGCTCATCTTTCCTATTAAAGTGCCCTTGAATTGGTAGTCCCTGTCCTGGTAAACAGAACCATCCATGGATTTGAGCAAACAAAATGCTTAACCACTCTCACTAACATTTCCCTCCTCCTGGCACACATCTAAGCCATCTTGGAAATCTATGATTATTATCAGCCAGTTCCATTCTGCGTAGACGTCCGTATTAGCCTGCTGCCTGGCTTCTCTACCTCTGCTTCTGTCCCTCAGTCCATTCATTCCCTCAAACGTAGTCACCTTATTCACCTTAAAAGGCTCTGGTCCAGCAATGCTGACCTTCCTCGCATCCCAGATGAGACATCTCTTTCTCCCTCCAGACTGTGGTTTATACTTTCTTCCTTTTCTACATCGCCATCCCATTGTAACACATTAGCCAGGATTTATTTCTGGAACTCCAGCAGTCTTGTACAGCAGAGGAAGTATTGTGAATACTTCCAGAGTATTGTTTACATTTTTCTCTTAATTTTTGGGTTTTTTTTATTCTTGGAGTACTGACAGCTTTAGCTGTTCCTCCTGCCTGATTTTCATCACTTTTTAGATATCATAAGTCACTAAATCCCTAGTAGACCTACTTTGATATTTAATATGCAGGTACTCCGTAAGCATTTTCCAGGGTATTGTCACGTTCTTCCTCTGTTTGAAAACCTCTCGTAGATGAAATTCTAACCTTTCCTGTCAAAATTGTACATACTTTGAAGACAGACTTTGCGTATTATAATAGAAAAAGGCCATAGCATTTAGAATATTTTGGAGTGGATATTATTTTGAGAATCTCATATGTAAGTACTATATTTACATAATTTGCTCCCACCCACTTTTCTGTGTCTCTCCTCTCTCAAATTCATGGCCTCTTTTTATATAGTTATTATTGTTACATATCCACATGTATCAATCAATACATCTGCCGAGTCCCTTTAGCATTGCTGGTCCATATGGATTGTGTTTAAGGCTGACCACTTAGAACTGAATCACCTATTCTAGGCTTCTTCCCTGGGAAAGCTTGATTCTCACTCTCAGCGGCCATCAGTTGCCTATGGCTCTTTTTCTAGGAGTGAGGCATTGTGAGATTTCTTCCATCCACGTTAGCACGTCAACTGTGTTGTCATTTTTCAGGTCTTGTTTGCACGATCATACTGTTGAAGTTTCATGAGTGCAGGTTACCTGACAGATCAGACAACACTGTCTCACAGCAGACATCCTGGTTCTCTGGCTTTTACACTCCCCACTCCCGCCTGCTCCCCAGTGTTCCCTGAGCCTCTGTGTAGGGATTGTATTGTAGATTTATCAACTAGGGTTAGACACTCCATAATCAACTAACTTACCTACATTAGAGTCTTGTTCGTGGTGAGACTTAGAAGGAGATGACTCTCTCCCTAGCATGTTTATCTCTACAATGGACTTCATAGTACCCACCCCATAGGAATGTTTGAGGATCTAGTGAAATCTCGTTGAAAGTATCCATTAAAAACAACAAAATTTTGTCATGAAGAAATCATATTACAATGTTTGTGCTGGCTAGTCTCATGTCAACTTTACACACAAACTAGAATCATCTGAGAGGGAACCTTAGTGAGAAAATGCCTCCATAAGATCCAGCTGTAAGACACATTCTTCATTATTGATGAGCAAGGGAAAGCCCAGCCCATTATGGGTGGTTCCACTCCTGAAATGAGTTTGGCTGTTCCCTTTCAGTTTGAGAAGCACTGATGTTAACTGCACTTTAAAGGTTTAATAGAGTTTACTTAGTAGATGTGTCCATTGCTAGGCTGAAATTTCTTTGTTATGGTTTAGGTAAGAATGTGTCTATTTCTTCTAGATTACCTATGAGTTGTTTGGTTATGTTTTTTGGTTTGGGGTTTGGGTGTTTAGTTTTGTTTTAAGTTTCAAAGTATTCCTAATGATTCTCTGGATTTTATGGATTCTGTTCTACTCAGGAAATCTATGGTTTTCGGTACTTTCATCACTGAAACTCCTGGTTCCTCCTCTGTTCAGGATTTCTTTTTGAATTTTCTGCAAAGCTGGCTTGGCAGTCATGAATGTCCTTAGTTTATGGAGGTTGTCCTTGCTTGACTGGTTAGTGATGGCATCTCTAGAGTGCAGGACAAGCAGTACCAAATTTGCTGCTTCCCCTGGAAGAGCAATGAAAGGTATCTGTAGATGGATTTTTTTCCTTTGGGCTACCAGTTCACAAGTAATGACATGGAGGCTTATTATTAATTATGAAAGCTCGGCCGATAGCTTAGGCTTGTTTTTAACTAGCTCTTATAACTTAAATTAATCCATTTCTATTCATATACATGTTGCCACATGACTTATGACTTTTACCTTTCTTCCTGCATGTCTGTTCCCTCTGTGTCTGGTTGGTGACTCTTTCTGTCCAGAAGTCCCTGCTATGCCTCCTGCCTAACTATTGGTCGTTTAGCTTTTTATTAAACCAATCACAGTGACACATCTTCACACAGTGTAAAGAAATATTCCACAATATTTTCCCCCTTTGTCTAAATAAAAAAGAAAGGTTTTAACTCTAACACAGTAAAACTATATACAATAAGAACAGTTATCAGGTAAGAATTACTTTTACAATTACAATGTTCAGTCCTTTTGTATTTGGCAAATTTAGAGAAAATACTCCATTATCTTTTTATACTCTGTGAAGATGTGTTACTCTGATTAATAAAAAACTGAGTGGCCAAGCACTAGGCAGGATTTCGGGGCAGAGGAGATGCTGGGAAGAAGGCAGAGTCAGCAGCCAGACACGGGATAACTAGGGTGGGCATAAGGGAGGTGAGGTAACAAGCACGTGGAGAAATGTAGATTTAAAAATACGGGTTAATTTAAGTTATAAGAGTTAGTTAGAAACAAGCCTAAGCTATCAGCCAAGCTTTTATAATTAATAATAAGTTCCCATATCATTTTTTTGTGTGTGAGCTGGTGGCCCAAAGAAAAGCCCAACT